GTTTCTCTATTTTGTTTATTTTCTTGAAGAACCAGCTCCTGCTTCCATTGATTCTTTCTATTGTTTTTTTCTTCTCGATTTCATTTATTTCTGCTTGAATCTTTATTATGTCCCTCCTTGTACTGAGTTTGGGCCTTCGTTTGTTCTTCTTTTTCTGTTTTCATTAATTGTGAGTTTAGACTGCTCATATGCTCTTCTTTCCTGAGGTAGGCCTTTGTTGCAACATACTTCCCTCTGAATATGGCCTTGGCTGCGTCCCACAGATTTTGCGGTGTTGAATTATTGTTTTCATTTGTCTCCATATATTGCTTGATCTCTGTTTTTATTTGGTCATTGATACATTGGTTATTTAGGAGCATATTTTTAAGGCTCCATGTGTTTGTGGAATTTTTCATTTTGTTTGTGTAATTATTTCTAGTTTCATACCTTTGTGATCAGAGAAGCTGGTTGGTACAATTTCAATCTTTTTGAATTTACTGAGGATCTTTTTGTGGCCTAGTATGTGATCTATTCTTGAAAATGTTCCATGTGCACTTGACAGGAATGTGTATTGTTCTGCTTTTGGGAGTAGAATTCTGTAGATGTCTGTTAGGTCCATCTGTTCTAATGTGTTGTTCAGTGCCTCTGTCTCCTTACTTATTTTCTGTTTGGTTGTTCTGTCCTTTGGAGGGAGTGGACTGTTGAAGTCTCCTAAAATGAATGCATTGCATTCTATTTTCCCTTTTAATTCTGTTAGTATTTGTTTCACATATGTAGGTGCTCTGATGTTGGGTGCATAGATATTTATAATGGTTATACCCTCTTCTTGGATTGACCCCTTAATCATTATATGATGTCTTTTGTCTCTTGTGACTTTCTTTGTTTTGAAGTATATTTTGTCTGATACGAGTACTGCAACTCCTGCTTTTTTCTCCCTATTAGTTGCATGAAATATCTTTTTCCATACCTTGACTTTTAGTCTGTGTATGTCCTTGGATTTGAAGTGAGTCTCTTGTAGGAAGCATATAGATAGGTCCTGTTTTTTTATCCATTCAGTGACTCTATATCTTTTGATTGGTGCATTCAGTCCATTTTACATTTAGGGTGATTATCAGTAGGTATGTACTTATTGCCACTGCAGGCTTTAGATTCATGGTTACAAAAGATTCAAGGGTAACTTCCTTCCTTAGTATCTAAGAGTCTAACTTAACTCACTTAGTATGCTATTACAAACACAATCTAAAGGTTCTCTCTTTTTTTTTTCCCTTCCTTTTTCTTTGTCCTGCATTCTTTATATATTGAGGTATCATATTCTGTACTCTCTGTCTATCCTTTGACTGACTTTGGGGGTAGTTGATTTAATTTTGCATTTGCTTAATAATGAACTGTTCTGCTTTCTTTACTGTGGTTTTATTACCTCTGGTGACAGCTATTCAACCTTAGAAACACTTCCATCTATAGCAGTCCCTCCAAAATACACTGTAGAGTTAGTTTGTGGGAGGTAAATTCTCTCAGCTTTTGCTCATCTGGAAATTGTTTAATCCCTCTTTCAAATTTAAATGATAATCTTGCTGGATAAAGTAATCTTGGTTCAAGGCCCTTCTGCTTCATTCCATTAAATACATCATGCCACTCCCTACTGGCCTGTAAGGTTTCTGCTGAGAAGTCTTATGATAGCCTGATGGGCTCTCCTTTGTATGTGATCTTTTTTCTCTCTCTGGCTGCTTTTAATAGTCTGTTCATATCCATGGCCTTTCCATTTTAATTATTATATGTCTTGTTGCTGTATTCCTAGGTTCCCTTGTATTGGGAGATCTGTGCACTTTATAGCCTGAGAGACTATCTCCTTCCCAAGACTGGAGAAGTTTTCAACAATAATCTTCTCAAAGACACTCTCTGTCCCTTTTTTTGTCTTCTTCTGGTACCCCTTGTATGAATATTGTTCCTTTTGGATTGGTTACACAGTTCTCAATATTTTTTCATTCCTTGAGATCCTTTTTTCTCTCTGTTCCTCAGCTTCTTTGTATTCCTCTTCTCTAATTTCTGTTTCATTTATGGTCTCCTCCCCCATATGTAATCTGCTTTTAAAACTTTCCAGTGTATTCCATAATGATTGGATTTCTGACCAGAATTTGTACCTGAGTTCTTGTATATTTTTCTGTACTTCCATTAGCATGTTTATTACTTTTATTTTGAAATCTCTTTCAGGAAAATCGACAAGGTGTGTTTCACTTGATCCTTTTTTTAGGTCTTTGAGGAATTTTTGTTTGAACCAGTTTCCTTTGACTTTTCATATTTTATGTGGCTGCATCTAGTGCCCAGAAGCTCTTCTCTCTGGAACTGTTTGATGTCTGGGGCAATGTTGGTGGTAGCAGGGGAGTGGTATGGGTGCCTGCGGGGAGGAATGAGCTGTTTCTTGCTTCCTGGCTCTTATGCCTTTCTCCATTGCTGGAAATAGTGGGCCGAGCAATAGGTATTGGCTTCTATGCTTTGCTTTTGTAGTTGCTATAGGCAGGGCTTCCCTCTGGGGGTAGGGGCTGCAGGTTTGCGAATCAGGTGTGGGGTGGCTGGGAGGAAGGCACAGCAGGCTGCATATCACTGTGGTGGGCCTTGGACCTTCATATCCAGCTGGGGAATGGAGTGCCTATAGCTCCTGAAAGTTCTCAACTTGCTGGGCAGAGTGAGCCCGGACAATTTTGTCCACCTTTCCTTTTTCCTGAGCAGTAGGTCTGTAATCCTTGCCCCTTTAGCAGCCCTCTCACTGTTAGGAAGCCTCTCAGACTTCCTGCCTTTCTTTTGTCCCAGAGCAGCTGGATGTGGATCCTTGTTCTCCACAATTGGCTGGAGTCTCAGTCTCTCCAGGTATTCTGTCTGTCTTAGCGTCCCAACCCCACTAATCACCAGAGAACTATGCAATGTAGGTTCGTGTTCCCAGAGCAGGATCTCCAGGGTTAGGTGTTCAGCAGTCCCAGGCCTCCACTCCTTCCCCGCTCTGTTTCTCTTCCTCCTGCTGGTGAGCTGGGGTGGGTGAAGGACTTTGGTATGTTATCCTTTTCCTTGAGGTCTATTCTTTTCTCCAGGTGTATGCAGTCTGCTGCAGCTTTCTTTCCTGTTGCTCTTTCAGGATTAGTTGTATTAATTATATTTTCATATTATTTGTGGTTTTAGGAGGAGGCCTCTGTCTCACCTCTCACACTGCCACCTTTAATCCACCAGCTCTTCTTTTTTTTAATGTCAGATGAGAAGGGTTAATGTTGGAAGACATTCAGAACTTAGTTATTGAACCCTTTTTTCTACATAGGATACATCATGAATTTTTTCCTTAGGTCAATTTAAGATGAGTTTGTAGTGTCTTTCTTGAGTGTATAAAAACTGATGAAGTGAGATAATCTCCCAGAAGTGGGTAGATGGTTGAGAAACTGCATTTCAGACATATGTATGACTTATAAATTTAATTATCAGAAGAAATGATTTCTTACAAAAATACCTAAGCTTTTATTAGCATTTTGTTATTATTTTTAGATGCTGTTATCCTAAGATGCAGCAGATCAAAAGAAAAAATTTGAAGATCTCAGAAGCATGAAAAGTTCATATGGTTATATGGGTATTTTTCTATGTGCAATAAAATCATGTGTAGTTTTTCATGAACTTATAAAATATGATTACTGTACTGTAAAACATAAGAATTGTTATTAATATAGTTCATTCCAAATGATATTTTTTAAAGTGCTTTAATCAGTGTCAGAGATTTTTTTCCATTGCATGTCATCCTATGTGGCAGGGCTCAACCATTTGTTTGTAGGTATTTCCTTAAACATTCTAATGAATTATGTGTCCCAAAGCAAAGAATCCTAGAAGTTCTTCCTTTTCGAGCCTGCCTCTTGATGATTTGCATTTCGAGGCAACTCACCTGGTTTTATCTGGATGCTTACTTAACAAATCTCTATTTTAATTGTAAAGTTGATGCCTTTTTAACTGGCAAGAAGACCTAACAATCTGTCTATCATAAAAATAGAAAAGCATCTAATTACTCTGGAGAATTAACTATTTTTTAAAATAGATACTCTAAATATGTCTAAATACATTTTGTAGTCCTTTGTATTAGTGTCAATGAAAAGGTAGAATCTCTGTCTGCTAATTGATTAACAACTAATGTTTGCAATAGAAATCATCTCACATGAGACTTACCTTAAAATAATGAGTCAAATAATCATACCTTTCATGCTTGTTGAGAATTTTTTGCTGTCTTTTATGAATGGCTTTTGGCTGTGATTTTTTTTTTCTTGTTAAGTCTTCAGGTTCTTTTACTGTTTTAATAAATTAGAATTAGTAATATAGTATCATAACTTATCTTTTCTAAAGAAGATTGCAAATAGTTTGCCTAATAATTTACAGTAATGAGCAGAATAATATAAATAGGTGAGTGATCATTTTTAGAAATAACTTTGATTATTCTGCTTTACGTGAAAGGCCAAGTGATTAGCTATTATCTCATTTGATACCAGTTTTAAAATGATGATTTAATTTCTTATTTTGCTTAACAAATTAAACACTTGCAGAATTAGCTGCAGAAAGGTTGAAAACTGAACACTATTATTTCATTGTTTTACCATATATAAAAAGATACCTTATTTACAATATAAATTTATTTATTTACAGTAAAAGCAATTATTTGGGGGAAGTATTTTAGCTATTTTTGAAGAACTTCAAAAAACTAAATTTTTCCTTTGAAACAGGTATTATTTGATGATAGCATATAGGCTAATAACTTTTGTTAGGATATAAATTTCTGACATAAAATGAATGAAATATAGTAATTTTTCTAATCTCTGGTTTTAAGTTTGCCTAAGATTATTCTTTACTTTCAATAGTTATCTCACTGACATAATTTATATAAAGCAAAACAAAACAGTGCACTTCTCAAAAAACATTACCATAAACTGATAATGCTTTCCCAAATATTTCTAAGGACTGACATAAATTATGTTTGTGAAAACATACTCTATTTTGTATTTATTTAGACGCTGGTTTTCAATACAGAACAATCAGTTGGTCTACCAGAAAAAGTTTAAGGTAGGTGTGTTGTAAAGAAATTAAGTGAAAAACCACTGAGTTACCCAGGTTGTTTTTTTATCTATTTTTCTTGGTAAAGCAGTGAAGTCCATAAATACTTGTGTGCAAAATTACCATTTATTTTATGTTTGGGCATGCAAAAAGGACTCAAACTTGGGAAGTAATAATATTTGGTCTGTAAAAGCTGAGTAATTTTGAATCCTGAATTCTTAATTCCTACCTTTGAGATAGCTTTTTCTTTGTCTCAGAATTGTTACTTTTATTTCTTCATATATCCAGTTTGTGACAGGAATAACATTACCTTCCCATAGTACTATTTTGAGGCTCAAGGAAAGGCTACCTTTTAAGGAATAATACCTTAGAGCAAAAGGTAATAATATCGAAAGGTTAAAAATGAAATTAAAAGGTAGGCTTGAAGTAATTTAAATAGAAATCTCTAAATTTGTTAATACTGTTTTTACTAATTTGTTTTCCTGAAACAGGAAGCTAACATTTATTGATCACCAACTAATTAATCACCAAGTTTAGCTGAAGCTCTTTATATAAATTATTTTATTTAATCCTTATATGGCGACTAAAAGGCAGGTAAAATTGTTAACAGGACAGAATTACCTTTGTTAGTTACATCTATGTTTATAACTCCTGTCTCTAGTCTAAAATAAGATAAAATATAAATCTTTAAGATAAGACCATTTATTCCACAGAGTATTTTTAAGTATGTTATTTTTAGGAGGAGTTTTTAAAACCGAGATTGGAAACTATGAGAGTTTTGTTTCCTTATTGTAGGATAACCCCACTGTAGTAGTGGAAGATCTAAGGCTCTGCACAGTGAAGCATTGTGAAGACATAGAACGGCGATTCTGCTTTGAGGTAGTCTCTCCGACAAAGTGAGTGGTTCTAAAGAATTGGAGAGTTGCTTTTATGTTTTTACGGTTTGTCGTAAAAGAACTTTGCAGAGTGGAGAAATTTGTTTCACTTGTGATTGTGTGTGCTAAAGAGGAAAAAAGTGTTTTAAAAGTAAATTTCAATAATTAATAATTATAGGTATTGTAGTCAGAGATTTATATAACTTCTATTCAGTATTGTATTCTTTAAATTCCATAAAGGTTGTTATATGAAAATTTATTAACTTTAATGATGATGAAGTCATAGATTAGATCAGTTCTTTGATATCTATTATTTATTTCTGTCCAATAGAAAAAAATAGTGTTGTGTTTGTATGGTAAATTTAGTTTTTCTTTAAAAGTCCAGGAATGGTTATTTTTTTTTCCAATAGGTAATTTATTTCATTGATACCTTGATTTCTTCATGAACATACTTTGTTCTTAAGATAGATGAAATAAAACCTTTCACCAGAAATTATTTTTTTGTTAGAAAAATTATTAAATAGCAAACTGGACAAAAAAGTAAACTTTATTGTCATTATTTTTTGGTCTGAGAAAATTAATTTAGTGTCTGAGGAAACAATATTGTTTTCTTTTAGAAGTTGTATGCTTCAGGCAGATTCTGAAAAGCTGCGCCAGGCATGGATTAAGGCTGTTCAGACCAGTATTGCTACTGCCTATAGGGAGAAGGGTGATGAATCAGAGGTCAGTAAACAATATTGTAATATGAAATAATATTTTACTAAAAGTTGTTAATTTTAGTTGCAACATTGTATGAGTATAACATTCTTTAAATGGAGGATGATTTTTTGTAATTGAAATGGGTTTAATTTTTTGAATCTAGATTCAAATTATCTTTTATTTGTTTACTTTATCCATTATTTTATTTAATATTTCAATATGTGTTTATATGTCAACATATGTCAGTATTTGAATATGTGCCCCAGATCTACATTTTTCTGATATATTTTCCCCAAAACATTTAATTGCTAATTAATAACAAAGTAATGGATATGAAAGGTCTTTAAATTAAAACTGGGTAAAAACCAAAAGCAGGAAAGCTCAAATTGTCTCTTAGTTGAAGACTCCCTGGAGAAGATAAGGTGAATGTGGAGTCTTAGGTCATTGGCTCACTTCAGATTCCTGACTCTTAAGGCCATGAGTGAGTCCTGTGACATGGAACTCACCACTTCCTCCAGAAGCTTATTGATATTAGGCATTTGTAAGTCTGAGCATGTCTGAATTATCTTTATTATATCTTCACATTTGTTTGATAATTTGGGTATGGAATTTTTAGATTGGAAATAATTATTCTTAAAATTTTTAACAGCATTGTTTTCCTGGTTTCTAGCATTGCTGGAGTCTTTTTTTTTATGTTTTTATTTTGGTATAGTTAATATACAGTTACATAAGCAACATTGTGGTTACTAGATTCCCCTCATTATCAAGTTCCCACCATGTACCCCATTACAGTCACTGTCCATCAGTGTAGTAGGATGCTATAGAGTCATTACTTTTCTTCTCTGTGCTATACTGCCTTCCCCATGATGCCCCTGCCCACATTATGTCTGCTAATTGTAATGCCCCTTATTCCCCTTATCCCTCCCTTCACACCCATCCTCCCCAGTCCCTTTCCTTTTGGTAACTGTTAGTCGATTCTTGGGTTCTGTGATTCTGCTACTGTTTTGTTCCTTCAGTTTTCCTTTGTTCTTATACTCCACATATGAGTGAAATCATTTGGTACTTATCTTTCTCCGCCTGGCTGATTTCACTGAGCATAATACCCTCTAGCTCCATCCATGTTGTTGCAAATGGTAGGATCTGTTTTTTTCTTATGGCTGAGTAATATTCCGTTGTGTATATGTACCACATCTTCTTTATCCCTTCATCTACTGATGGACACCTAGGTTGCTTCCACATCTTGGCTATTGTAAATAGTGCAGCGATAAACATAGGGGTGCATCTGTCTTTTTCAAACTGGAGTGCTGCATTCTTAGGGTAAATTCCTAGAAGTGGAATTCCTGGGTCAAATGGTATTTCTATTTTGAGCATTTTGAGGAATCTCCATACTGCTTTCCACAATGGTTGAACTAATTTACATTCCCACCAGCAGTGTAGGAGGCTTCCCCTTTCTCCACAACCTCGCCAACATTTGTTGTTATTTGTCTTTTGGATGGTA